CAAAGGAACTTTTGATTATAGGAATGTGACTTAGCCCTACTTCTGACAAACCTCCTTGTTGCTCAGAGGTGGCCATAAACTCTCTTACTGGACACTCAGGAGACTACTCTCTCTTGTACGTGGAAAATGACATATCAGGAATGAGCATTCCTGGAGACGAGGGATCAATGTTGTTCTTCCAATGACATACCAATGATACTTCCCAATGGTTGATCAGCAATGCTTTCTCAGGAAAGATCTCAATCCAAAGAGGTAAACATGAAAGAAAAACAGCAAAATGGAGTTGATGTTGTCAAGAGAGCACTGTAAAATAGAGCTGGGCGGTCTCTGGGAAGCGGAGCTAACTCACTTCCTTCCATGTGCAACTGAACTTTTGAACTGGGCTAAACCAAAGGGCTACATCCTGATACAGTTTCTGGAACTGGTTCTGCATCACTAAACTCTCTATTAAATAAAATTTCCTCCTAGAAATGGACATAAACAATCAGTCATGGATAGCATGGTGTAAATTGGCTTGCCAGCCCCAATCACAGCTCCTTCAAAGCAATTTATGTAATCCTTTTGAAAGCCTCCCCTTTTCAGTCTTTATAAACTCTACCTCATTCTTTCCCCCTCAGAACACATTGGGTTCCTACTTAAGTCTGTGACTTCTAGATTTGCAATTCCTACAGCCGCCAAATAAATCTTTTGTTTGCCTTCCAGTTCGTGGCAAAATTGATTGACACTGGCAGGAGAAAGATAAAAAAATAAATCGGTAGGTGATATGGTATGTTGGGAAGTATAATGGGGACAAAAAAGAGAACAAAGAGGGGGAAGAAGGGAATACTGAGAGGGAGGAGAGGGAGCTGTGATTTCACAGAGTGGTTAGGAAAATCCAGTGAGAAGACATTTAAGCAGAGATCTAACTCTAGTGAGAAAGAGTCATATGGCTATTTTGGGGGAAATCATTCCAACAAGTGCAAAGACCTTGACTTTGCTTCCTTATTAGTTTTTGTTTTTTTTTTTTATAGCAAAGGTGGAGATTTATTGAAGAACAAGTACAGACTTCCACGTGGGGAGAGAAAAAGAGTCCCACAGAACTTACTCCCATGTAGGGAGGGGGAAGAGTCCCCTCCTTATTAGTTCTTATTTTGCCCATTTTCTCTCCTCAGGTAATTTGGTAATGATGGGGAATGGGAAATAACTTTGAAGTTCTGATTAATTGAAAAATGTTGACCTGCTGTTTTTTTCCTGGCCTTTGTCACCATCCCCTTTAGCTCACGATGAGTTTCTTTACCCATAGGTCCTGAGAGAGAAACCCTGGATGAGAGCAGTGTTAAAGACTAGCAATTATCACACCTCTAACCGGGTTGAGATAGAGAGAAAGGGCTGGGAAATCAACTAAGAAAAATCCAATTTCAGTGTTTCCCTTTATAAAAGTCCTGCTTCTTACAAAGTTCGGCATATGAAGGAAGGCTCTCAGGACTCTATTCAATGCCAGAGACAATAGAAAAAAAGAAAAAAACCCTCAAAAAACAAAAACAAAATCTCTATATATAAAAGGCTAATATGCTGTGTCCGACCCTCCAGGTAATGACGTCACATAGCAACGCCCGGCTTCTTCTCTCCAGCAACAACTAGCTTCCTTGCAGTTTCTTTGGTCCAGGAACACTACTTGCTTTATAGCCAGGTGGAAACACTTTACACTGCAATCAATTGTCTGTGAAGTGTTTTCCCGTGCCTCATCTCATTTGATCCTCACAGAAGTCATGGAGTAGGTAGATAGGAGACTCGGTAGAATCCTATTTTCTCTTCATTAGCCAGAAAAAAAAAGATTTAGAAAGCTTAGAAACTTGACCCGAAAAGAAGAAATGGTGGACCTTGACAATGACTTCAGGTTTTCTCACTGCAGGGTCGAGACCCTTTGAGGGTCAAATGACCCTTTCACAGGGGTCGCCTAAGACCATCGGAAAACACATATATAATTACATATTGTTTTTGTGATTAATCACTATGCTTTAATTATGCTCAATTTGTAACAATGAAAATACATCCTGCATATCAGATATTTACGTTATGATTCATAACAGTAGCAAAATTACAGTTATGAAGTAGCAACGAAAATAATTTTATGGCTGAGGGTCACCACAACATGAGAAACTGTATTAAAGGGTAGCGGCCTTAGGAAGGTTGAGGACCACTGGCATAGAATATAGTCAAACACTGCTGCAGTTAAATATTTTACCCTTTGTTCTCCCTGCATGATCTACAATAATAATCTGCTTTGTATTGATATTTACTGCTGTGTTGCTGACAATTACCTGAGAGAGAAGTTGGGGTGTTTCACTGGGCTGGGAAAAGTTTAGCTAAATCAGAAAGCAGGTGTAATTAAGCAAGTTTATTCTATATCTATAAAAGACTAAGTTGACTCCTGCATGCTCAATACATAAAAACTCTCACTGGCGCCAATTGCACACGTGTTTCCTTCTGTCATTGCCGATCGTGAATTTGGTTGACATTTCTATTATAGAGAAAGGGCGAATAGTGATGTTAAAATATTCTAATTAATTTCCTTTCAATGTCCATGAATTCGTGCACCAGGCCACTAGTTATAAATAAATAATCCCATTCTATTTCATACATTTTAAAATTAAATAGATTACATAGTAGTTGATACAATTTAACATAAAATAATATTTCTAGTATAATTTTTAAAAATATATTTTAAAAGAATTCAGAGAGGAAGGGAGATGGAGAGAGGTAGAAACATCAATGATGAGAGAGAACCATTGATTGGCTGCCTCCTGCATGCCCTGCACTGGGGATTGAGCCTGCAACTTAGGCATATGCCCTGTGACCTTGATCCCTCATAGGTGGTTTATAGGTGGATGCTCAACCACTGAGCCATGACAGCCAGGTTCTAGTATAATTTTAAATTATGGATACCTAAGAGAAAAGTTATAAAATTTCTACTTTCCTTCTATTAACTCCAATTTCAAAAAGGGTCCTATTGTTCTCACTCTATGTTTACATGTATCGTGGTGGTAGTGCCAAGGGACCTGTAGGGCAAAGCTCTATTATGAAAGTGCCTTGAAAAGTAAAAAGTGTGTTGATCAAACATCAAGCATCACCACTGTTCACTAGGTGCACTGTTGCTTCTTTTAGAAATATGGCAACAATTTAATAGCATTAGGAGATGGACATATATTCATCCATAAAGAAAAATGTGTTCATCCATAATGAAAGCCAGATTTTGGCTTTAAGAAAAGTTCACTTTATACTTTGTGAATGGGCAGTTATTTAGACGCTCCATGCCTCAGTTCCCTCATCTGAAAAGTGAGGATAAAATAGTACTTACCTTTGTAGCTATGCATAATGTTTATTTTGATTATGATTATTTAATAATATATACAAATACTGGAGGCCCGGTTGCACAAAATTCATGCACTTGGGGGTGTGGGGTCCCTCAGCCTGGCCTGCATCCTCTCATAGTCCAGAAGTCCTCATGGATGTCAGTGAGCCCGGCTTCTGGCTGAGCGGCGATCCCCCTGTGGGAGCGCACTGATCACCAGGGGGCAGCTCCTGCATTGAGCATCTGCCTCCTGGTGGTCAGTATGTATCATAACAACTGGTCGTTCTACCATTCAGTCGATTTGCATATTAGCCTTTTATTATATAGGATTGAATTACTAGAGACTCCGTGCATGAAATTTGTGCACTGGTAGGGTCCTTAGAGGCTGCTGGCCAGGTACTCCCTCCCTTCCCCCAACTGCCTGCTGCTGCCACCAGCTGGGGCCTCTCTCCCTTCCCCCAGCCAGCCCTGCGCCCTGGTCGAACTCCCAGACAAACTCCTGGTGGAGGGGACAATTTGCATACTATGCTTTTATTCTACAGGAGGAGGAGGATTGTTATACACTTGAAACTAATATAATGTTATGTGGTCAGTTGTACCCAAACAAATAGTACTTACCTGCTTTATAGTATTAAAGTGAGATAGTGCCTGGGACTCCATTTAAAAACAAAACAAAACAGTGCCTGGCACAAATAAAGCTCTCAAAGAAGCTGACGATTATTAAACCAGTGCATGGATTCTTGCACTGGTGGGGTCCCTCAGCCTGGCCTGCGGGGATTGGGCCGAAACTGGCTCTCCAACATCCCCCGAGGGGTCCTAGATTGCAAGAGAGCAGAGCACAGGCCAGGTTGAGGGACTCTACTGGTGCATCTGTGCACCAGGCCGCTAGTATGCATATAAGATCATTGGTTAATCTCTTCCAGTCTGCCCCCTTCCCTCTGAGATTCATCATTCTGTTCCATGTTTCCATGCCTGTGGTTCCCCTCCTGCATTGAGAGTCTGCCCCCAGGTGGTCAGTGCGCATCATAGCTACAGGATGGCCGGCCAGTCAGCCAGTCGGCCAGTAGCTTAGGCTTTTATATATATAGATTTGTGAAAATATCTGCAGTGGAAGGGTACCTCAGCATTCTATTGAGGCCTACCATACACATACATCTCTCAGGATATCATGTAAATGTTTGTTTACTGTCAAAATCAGCGACATCAATTTATTATTAGTGTGGTTATCTCCTGGGCATGTATTAAACCCTCATTCTGTTAGGTCTGGTGCCAGGGAATTAGTTGCCCTTAACCCAGTACTTTATCGCTGGAGGAAAAAGTTCACAGCGCTATTAAATCTGAAGTATATGCCAGCGCTTCAGGAAGGTTATCAGAATCTAGCTAAGAACACCTTGAAAGGCACCCAAGCCTGGCGGGAAGGTGAGAGGGGCTGGGCACTGTGCCCCCGGGATGTGGAGAAGGGAGCTCCCCGCCTCTGCCTACCGGCTGGCGTTGAGGATGCTCCCGGCATTATTTCCAACCCGCGGCTGAATAGGATGTAGGAGTTGCTCCCCGTTGGAGTTAAGTCACGTGCTTGAAGGTGAAGGTGGCAGCGCCAGAGCGCCCTGCCCCCTCCGGCCGGAGCCGGGCCTCACCTGCTGCAGGTGTCCCCAGGTAGCCCAACGGCGTGGCCGCCGGCTCTCCTCCCGCTGGAGCCCAGGGCCGATGCCGGCCCGGAGAGGGGAGGGGGCAGTGGGGGGAGGTTAGCCGCCTTGGGGATCCGGAGCTCGCTGGCTTGGCGCCCGGCCGAGGGCACCCCGCCGGGGAAAGGCCGCGCCTCCTCCCGGAACTGGCAGGCGGCCGGCGGGGAGCGGCGGGAGCTGGGCGCCGGGCGCCGCGCGCCGCGCGCCGCGCACCACGCCGCGGGCTATGGAGGTCCTTCCCACGGGCGGGGGCCCGACCCGGCGGCCGGAGCCTGAGGCCAGGCCGGAGGACGTCGTGGAGGAAGCGGTTCCTGCCGTGCCCCCGGCTCCACCCCTGCGGGGCGCGCCCGCGGCGGGGCTGCCGCCGGACCCCCAGGATCCCTGGGAGGGCGAGGAGGACGCGGAGCCCGGCGAGCGGCGGGGCGGGCGGACCAGCCGCACGGCGTCCCTGGTGAGCGGGCTGCTCACCGAGCTGTACAGCTGCACCGAGGAGGAGGAGGCGGCCGGCGGGGGCCGCGGGCCCGGGGGCCTCCGTCGGCGCCGCGACAGCCTCGACAGCTCCACCGAGGCCTCGGGCTCCGACGTGGTCCTGGGCGGGCGCGGCGACTCCCGGGAGCTGCAGGAGCTGCGGGAGCGGCCGAGCGAGCAGCACCAGCGCCTGTACCTGCGGCAGAAAGGTGAGGGTGGGAGGGGAGGGGGCTGCCGGAGGGGGTTCCTGCCGGGGGTGGGGGGTGGGGAGTGGGGGGAGGGCTGCCGGTGGGGGGACCTGCCCGAGGGCGGGCCTGCCGGAGAGGGAGCGCCGCAACCCCCCAGCCCTGCGCGCCCGGGCCCCCGCGCCCGCCTGTGCGCACCGGGACTGAGCCGTCTAGCGCACAGATTGTTAAGTTCGGGGTGTCTCCATTGATGGGTCGCTGGCGTCCACAGTGTCACGGAAACACGACTAGACGTATTTCTTATCGTCTCCCCGACCCGCATCCCCTTCGAGCCGTGGAGTGGAGCCTCCGTTGTTGGCGTGGCAGCTGCGGTCTCCACCCGCCCCGTGTGTTTGTGGAGGCTCCAGGGGGAGAGGCTGTCCAGGCTCTAATGTCGCCAGAACAGCTGTTAGGACAGGTTTGGAGTTTCTGATAAGTTCACGTGAAGTGACTTCGGGCGCTGGGAGCAGTGAGGCATCTGGGGGCTTTTTTTTTTTTTTTAGTTTAAATTAGCGGTTCTCAACCTTTAGGTCGCGACCCCTTTGGGGGTCGAATGACCCTTTCACAGGGGTCGCCTAAGACCATCGGAAAACACATATATAATTACATATTGTTTTTGTGATTAATCACTATGCTTTAATTATGTTCATTTTGTAACAATGAAAATACATCCTGCATATCAGACATTTACATTACGATTCATAATAGTAGCAAAATGACAGTTATGAAGTAGCAACGAAAATAATTTTATGGTTGTGGGTCACCACAACATGAGGAACTGTATTAAAGGGTAGCAGCATTAGGAAGGTTGAGAACCACTGGTTTAAATAATGCCCCTCCCTGGCCACACTACTGGGATAGTGTTTAACTAGCGAGGCAGAATAATTCCATAATTCGGTTTCTAAGCAGAACGTGTGCGTTCCATTTCTGCCAGAACGTCTGGTTTCAAGAAGCTCACTAGGTGGACTTTTCATTAGTGGAGGGCCCTAGAGTGTTGGCATTAGCACTTGGAGAATGTTGACATTATCAGTTGGAGAGGCCATCTGAAAATGGCCTTGGTTTTCAGGGGGAGAGGAGAATTTGTTGTTTCTTTTGTTACCAGACTCTGATGCTGTGTCCTAATTGAGATCCCCCTCCCCCTCAACTGCTAATAAGTAGTTTGCCCTTCAGGCACTAACACAATTATTACAGTTGTCTTTTTTTAAATAGATATGCCATGACTTCAATTTACAAAATGAAGTGAGGTGTGGAAAACATGCTAAACCACAACAGTTCTTGAATTCATGTCCTGGTGCTAAACTACCAGGGGAGAGGGGAAAGAGAGGATGCCTACGATAATAATATCCTGTCTCCTCTAATTGAAAAATCAGACTAGCTGTTGCTAGAAAACAAAAGAAAAGAAAACAAAACTAACTAACCAGAAAAGGAATAAATCTGTCTGCTTTCTCAAATCTATGTAAACAGCTTTCAGCTTCCTCTTTTGGCTTCCCAGTGAAGATTTTTTCCCCCCAGCTGATTGTTACAAACGACTTCCACCTTCCTCCCCCTGCCTGGGACTTTGCTGGAGTTGTGCCATTTCATTTGATACAATTATTTGGCTGTTCACCGGGCGTCTGTTTATGCTTCAAGTTCTGCAGGGCAATAGTTCTTTTAGAATCCAACAAAATCAATTTTGAAGAATTATGATTTAGCTTTTCATTACCGAGCAAATTTGGAGGATTAGTAATTTCCTTTTGGAAGAAGAAATATGGCAAGCTAGTTTTTAAAGAAGTAACAGTACAGCTTTGCAAGTGGATTTCAAAGAAGTGACCACTATAGTAATCATTCTTTTTTAAAAAAAATTTAAATTCTTTATTGTTTAAAGTATTATGTAAGTCTCCTTTTTCCCCCATTGACCTCTCCCCGGCCGCCCCCACCCCCTAGCACATGCCCTCACCCCCCTACTGTCTGTGTCCATTGGTCATGCTCATATGCACCCATGCAAGTCCTTTGGTTGATTTCTTACCCGCTCACCCCCTGCCTTCCCTCATAGGCTGGACAGTCTTGTTCAATGCTTCTATGACTCTGGATCTGTTTTTGTTCATCTGTTTATGTTGTTCATTATATTCCACAAATGAGTGAGATCTGTGATATTTATCTTTCTCTGACTGGCTTATTTCACTTAGCACAGTGGTTCTCAACCTGTGGGTCGCGACCCCTTTGGGGGTTGAATGACCCTTTCACAGGGGTCGCCTAAGACCATCGGAAAACACATATTGAATATATAATTACATATTGTTTTTGTGATTAATCACTATGCTTTAATTATGTTCAATTTGTAACAATGAAAATACATACTGCGTATCAGATATTTACATTACGATTCATAACAGTAGCAAAATTACAGTTATGAAGTAGCAACGAAAATAATTTAATGTTTGGGGGTCACCACAACATGAGGAACTGTATTAAAGGGTTGAGGCATTAGGAAGGTTGAGAACCACTGACTTAGCATAATGCTCTCCAGTTCCATACATGCTGTTGCAAATGTTAAGAGTTCTCTTTTACAGCAGCGTAGTATTCCATTGTGTAGATGTACCACAGTTTTCTATAGTAATCATTCTTAAGATATATAATAGTCTGCTTTGCCCAGGTCTCAGTCTTATTGCATGGTTAGTTGCTTGTTAATCTTTTCTTGCAGTCAACCCTGTTAGGATGAACAAGATACCATATTCTAGCCCTGACTGGTTTGGCTCAGTGGATAGAACATTGGCCTGCGGACTCAAGGGTCTCAGGTTCGATTCTGGTCAAGGGCATGTACCTTGGTTGCGGGCACATACCCAGTAGGGAGTGTGCAGGAGGCAGCTGATCGATGTTTCTCTCTCATTGATGTTTCTAACTCTCTATCCCTCTCCCTTCCTCTCTGTAAAAAATCAATAAAAAAATATATATTTAAAAAAAGATACCATATTCTAATAGCCATGCCACCTCCACCTTTATCAATAAACATCATTAGAGTACTAAGAAAAAAAATCAGGTGATGGAAACAGCTGTCTGCTTAATTTTACAGCTTATTAGGTTACCTGTTTTTGTTTTTTTTCCAGGGTAAAAAAAAAAAATCAACATAGTACCTAGTAGGAGTCTCATATAATGCAGATAACCTGTGTATTCTCTCTTTTTTTCTGTCAGAGATTTTGCTGTAGCATCGATGTAGCACCTATTTTTACATATTTCGCATGTGTGGGTCCTTTATTTATTTGAGGCACCAAAATGGTTTCTCAGGAAATCTACACTCTTCTCAGAGTTTTCATTACGGGATGAACTTTGGAGTCAAATGCTTGAGCTGATATCCTGCTGCTGTTCCTTACTAACAGTGGGACCTCACGCAAGCTACTTAACCTCTCTGTCTCATTTCTCTCACTTATAAGTAGGGATAATAATACCTACTTCACAGGACTGTACTGAGAATTATATAAGTTAATGTGTATAACATGCTCAATAAGTGTTAGATATAATAATAATATTTGTTATATACACTGGGATTCCTTAGAAAGATAATTGTCCATTGTTTGTCACTTGATGATCTCATTTTTCCTATTTATTTAAAACTGTGTGAGGAGCTGTAGCTGATGCCATGGGGCATGCAAAGGTAAAGAAGACTTTATTCCTGTCTTTGGGATGCTTGTATACCAGCAAATCATGCTGTAGGTTTCCAAACTGAACTCTGAAGATTTTCCCATATTGGACAACACATATAATTCAGAGACCCACAGAGCTGTAGGTACCTTTAAGAGTTGCTGAAAAATGACTCTTTTGTGGAAGAAAGTATAATTTAAATGCAAGATGATAGTCCTACCCCTAGAACAGTGGTTCTCAACCTTCTGGCCCTTTAAATACAGTTCCTCATGTTGTGCCCCCAACCATAAAATTATTTTCGTTGCTACTTCATAACTGTAATTTTGCTACTGTTATGAATCGTAATGTAAATATCTGATATGCAGAATGGTCTTAGGCAACCCCTGTGAAAGGAAAAATTTTAAACATTCAAAGAAAGGCTACCTGCTCTCTCTGAAGGAATCTAAGAATGAAGAGCCTCTGATCTCCTCTGGTAGCTGATTCTCATAGTTGACCGTTCTTAGAACCCAGGTAGTTTCATTTAACCTAAGTGAGCTCTGATTTCCCATGACATGCCACCGTGTTGGAACTCAGGGTGAGAGAAATAACTGCTCTGTGTTCTCTTCTTCATAGACATTCCTTCTTCTTATTTTAGGGCTATTTATGTTAGTGTTCATAAAGAGTGTTCACATTTGTTTCTCAGAATAATCTAGTATTCTAAGCATAATTTGAGTCTTTGAGCACGACCTTGCCTAAGATCACACAGATAGTTGGTTGGTCCAAAGGAAGTTCTTGTTCACTCAAGGTCAATTAGCATTTTCCAAATGATGGGGTCAGCTATGACAGAGGTTAAAGCAACGCCCTGCACTTCTCTTATACTGACTCAAAAAGTTCACTTCCTCTGACCTCCGAAGTACTTTTCTTACTTTTGAACATTTCTTTTGTTCTCTTCTGATCCTGCCTAGTTTCTCCTAATCATTTTCAACAGGAGTAGATCCAACCCCCACACAGGACCTCTACTGAGGGCCTAGCCAATGCCAAGCTGAGCAGAAAGCTTTCCTGCCTGCTGTTCACACTGTAATGACTGACGGTAATGTCAGGAGTGACAAACAACACTCCCAAATTGTTATGGTCATTCACATAAAGATTGTTGACATTTCTGATTCCCAAGTCTTTTTTTCACTTGTAGAAAACTGCTGTTGAGAATATTAGCTTTATGAATATAGAATTATTTTTAATTTATTCACTTAAAGGAAATGTACTTTCTGCACATTTGAAAAATTACTGAGTTTCGAAGATGAGATATTGTACCTAATATTCAAGCTATTCGAAGACTGTATATTTAAAACAAAAACAGTATTTTCACATTTATCTGCATTAGAAAATGGTAGTATTATTTACTTTTGACTGATTATTTACAAACAAAGGTGAATACTTTAAAAAATATTTATCAGGCCCTAGCTGGTTTTGCTCAGTGGATAGAGCGGACTGAAGGGTCTCTGGTTCGATTCCGGTCAAGGGCAGGAGCCTTGGTTGCAGGCTTGATCCCAGGTCGTGGTTGGGGCCGGTGCGGGAGGCAAACAATCGATGTGTCTCTCTCACATTGATGTTTCTCTCTCTCTGTCTCTCCCCATCCTCCCTCCCTTCCACTCTCTTTAAAATTCAATGGAAAAATATCCTTCAGTTAGGACTAACAACAACAACAAAATATTTATCAGGTTTATCATTGATGCAACAGACTTGAAAAGATTATTTTCTTGCAGCTTAGTCTGTAAGTACATTGATGATACCAAATATACATGCTAGTTTTCAAGCTATAAAAGGCAAATATGCAACCAGAGCTAAATATGGTAAAAGTTAAGAGTCTTGCTTACATATTACAGGTGGATAAAATTTATTTTATAGTACAGTGGGGCCTTGATTACGAGTTTAATTCGTTCCGAGACCGAGCTCGTTAAGGAGCTCGTTAACTCAAATTACTCTGTCAACTCAATGCAAAAAATCCGCGGAGAGACAGCTGGTATCTCAAAAAACTCGTTAGTCGGGACACTCGTAAGTCAAGGCCTCACTGTATTTGTCTCATTGACAGGGCAAGAAATGGATGAGTGACTTATTTGATCAGAATATCTTAACTGAGTACTGAGTGAGAACCCAGAATTACCTGCATGGATGTTCTAGAATCTAGATAATTATCTTACAATTAGCATCATGTTGGCATTTGTATTCCTCTCAGGGTTTTTATTGTTCTATTTTAAATCTTCTTTTCTAATAGACGCTAATGAACTGAAGACGATCCTCCGAGAGCTTAAGTACAGAATTGGCATTCAGTCGGCGAAGTTACTCCGGCAGCTGAAGCAGAAAGATCGGCTTCTGCATAAAGTCCAGAAGAACTGCGATATTGTGACTGCGTGCTTGCAGGCTGTGTCACAGAAGAGAAGTAAGTGCTGGAGTGGGGTTAGCCCTTTTGCCACATGCGACTGGAATGGTAGTGAGCTGAGCCAATAGTCGTTGTGTTTTTGAATCTGTTGAAAAGTTTTAAATGGAAATTTATCCCCTCAGAACTAAGAACTACGAACAACTTGTACAGCTTCCAGTTTTTTTCAGTTAAAATGTATGTTGCATGTCTGAGGTTACAAACTTAGTTTTCTTATTCTCTATTTGCAGCAGCACTTCACTGTGACATTGGTTATTTTTACATGATGCTAAGCAATGACGAAAATCTTTATTCTAAAAACAGCACCCAATAGATACAACGTAAAAGGCATATCTTTGTTTTCGTGTTCTCTTTGTGTTTAATAAGTGAATTAAAAACTGATTTAAAAGGAGACTCCTGTAACAGGATCTTACAGCTTGCTCTGAGTCCTAAAAAGGACAAAATATTTTAACAAACCCATTTAGTAGGTAATCCGGTCATAACTAAGAGATTCATGGTTTCTTAATTGAGTTAAAAATTGTTAAATTGCTAATGCATGTCAAATACCAGATAAAAGCTTGTGAATTAATTTTGTAATTCTCCATGCAATCGTTTTATGTTTTATTCTGCTAACATTTCCCTATTTTTGTTTTGTATTCTTTATTAACATGCAGCATGGCAGAACAGTATGTTCAGGTATGGTAAATATAGGCACCAACGAAGTGTTTTGCTAAAACACCTGTGGCAACTTTTTAGGTGCATGTGAAAGTTGCCTTTTCCTGTTCCTTTACTCTGTCACATTTTATATGTAAAGTGACACTTCCTAGATTTTTTTTTTTATTCCAAATTAAGATGTGTTTCTTTTCATAAAACAATTTTCAGGGTGTGGTTAGTTTCAGATTACATTAATGGCTACATTCTATTCTTATGTTTATTATTAAAAGACAGTTCTATGTTTTCTTCCTCCTCTTTTATTATATCACTGTTTGTTATCCCTAAATTCTTCTTCTTGCTGTTTACTAAAGAAGGTTTCAACCTAATGTGTATTAAATACAATGCTGCTCAGCTATCATAATGATATAATGGTCCATCTGAGAACCAGGAATGTAGTTGAGTAGTCTTTTTTTTTAAGTTATATATATTTTAATTGATTTCAGAGAGAGGAAGGGCGAGGGAGAGAGAGAGATAGAAACATCAATGATGAGAGAGAATCATCGGCTTGGCTGCCTCCTGCACAACTGCCACTGGGGATGGAGCCCACAACCCAGGCATGTGCCCTGACTGGGAATTGAAGCGTGACCTCCTGGTTTGTGGGTCAGTGATCAACCACTGAGCCACATGGGCTGGGTGTTGAGTAGACTGTTTTTGAATAGAGTTTTCTCCAGAGCCAGGCACTTATCTGAAGTAGCTAGTGAAGGAGGAGGGTATAGATATATACACCGAGCAGCCAGATTATTATGACCACCCCATCAGTACTTCATTGACACTTCCAAAAATACTGAATATTGAAAACTTCCTAACCAAATACTTTCACGGTTTTATTATTGTTATTATTTGCATAACTGATTCACTTCATTGTACTGATGGGGTGGTCATAATAATCTGGCCAGTCATAATAATCTGGCCACTCAGTGTAGATGTGTTTATATGTATGTTAATCTATAAAACATTGGCAAGCATTAAAGGTATCTGTTGTTTTTCCATGGATTCTGATTGATTCACAAGTGCCCAGTAAATATGTTATTTTCCTCTTTTATTTTAAGATGAAAGTTTTGATTCTGATATTTCTCTTTTCACAATTGTGTTTTCACGTACCCATTGTTGTTGCTTGTATCAGAAGTTAAAAGCACTAAATGGTAAGTGCACTTTGTGGTAAGCGGAGTGTGGATGTGTGGGAAAGCATCGGGGAGATGCAGCCGGTGTCAGGAGACCGAGAGGAATGTCAGGCTGGCACAGGACCATGGGCTGATGAATCCCAGGGACTGAGTCATTTAGGATTTGAACCTACTTGCCTGATGAAAGGACCAGCATTTATGTCTTGTAGAAAAATGTCTCCATAAGCATCAGTGGAACTCGTAAATTGGTGAATGCACACTTCCCATGTACTTTAGGGTTTGTCTCTTTAATTCTAGACAGGGTTTTGCGTTTCAGACAATATAGGCTTAATGGCTCTTTTCCTTGGGAGTTCAAGTCTCACCTTGGTAATAAGACTGTTAAATGGAACAGAATATTTTTTGTTGACTTAAGGAATAACGGTGCATCAAAATGATCATTTTCATCATATGATACTATTTTATGATGTAGATAGACGGTGTTAGAAATTTGATTAGGTGGTTCTTTTAAATCCCTTTTAGATCTCCAGAGGTTAGATGTTTTGTGAGTAAATGCCTTCTTCCAGTAGTTGCAAAAATCTGGATAACCTTTTTTCCCCCACATGGATTCAGTGCTTATAGTTCTTTCCATGAGTGACTTTTCTCCTTCCATAACTTGCTGTGGAATAAAACTATTTTAATGTTTATTAAAATGGGTTATTTCCTGTTGATAAATTAAAGGGGTATAGTAATTTTGAAATAAGAATCATAAGTAAGTGTGGATTATGAACCAAAATGACTAGGTCATTTTTATTTCTAACACAGATGATGTAACTATGTAGACTTTATAGTTTCCTACACTAAGCCTTATGGTAGAAAACATTTATTTTAAAACAGGTGGGAATAAGAAAAGCAGGATCAAAACTTGCCTCATAGAAGAGCAGATTTCCCCCTTATGTTTATCCATTCATCTAAGGATAATCATGGTATAACCAGTTTAATATTAATAATAAAATCAATGCCCTAGCTGGTTTGGCTCAGTAGATAGAGCGTTGGCCTGTGGACTGAAAGGTTCTGGTTCTATTCCGATCAGGGGCACATGCCGGAGTTGCGGGCTCAACCCCCAGTAGGGAGCATGCAGGAAGCAGCCGATCAATGATTCTCTCTCACCATTGATGTTTCTATCTCTCTGTCCCTCTCTCTTCCTCTCTGAAATCATTAAAAAAATAAAATTAATAATAATAAGAATGGCAGCAGCTGTAACCATTCATTATATACCTGCTTTCTGCCAAAATGTTGGTTTTGTTTCTCATAGTGATTCAAATAAAGTATGTATCTTTAGGCACATTGTGTTAGGAAGCTGAGATTCAGAAAGTTTAATTTGCTAAAGTCTCATAAGTAAGTGGTTGAGATGGAATTTGAAGATAGATATCTCAAAAGTCCACTCTACCATAAATTGTGACAAGAGGGTTCTATTTCTTAGCAATTAATTGATACTTCTGTAATAGTATTAGAATACTAGAGGCCTGGTGCATGGATTCATGCACCAGTGGGGTCCCTTGGCCTGGCCTGTGGGATTGGGCTGAAACCGGCTCTCTGACATCCCTGGAGGGTTCCTGGATTGCGAGAGGGCACAGGCCAGGCTGAGGGACCCCAACAGTGCATGATAAAGGCTGGGGTGGGATGTGGGAGGTTGGCCAACCAGGGAGGGATCTTGGGAGGGCTCCAGGGCGTGTCCAGCCTCGTCTCACTCAGTCCTGATCGGCTGGACCCCAGCAGCAAGCTAACCTAACAGTTAGTGTCTGCCTCCTGGTGGTCAGTGCATGCCATAGCAAGCGGTTGAGCGGCCTTAGCATATCATTAGCATATTACACTTTGATTGGTTGAATGGACGACCAGACAACTGGATGCTTAGCATATTAGGCTTGTATTGTATAGGACTAGAGGCCCAAAGCATGAAATTCATGCAAGAGTAGGCCTTCCTTCCCCCGTCTGCCAGTACTGGCTTCCCTCCGGCTGCTGGCACATGGGACCCGGGCTTCCCTCTGGCTGCCGACAGTCACCCGGGACCTGGGCTTCCTTCGTAGCTCAGGCTTTGTCTGGAAGGACGTCCGGTCTAATTAGCATATTACACTTTTATTATTATAGATGGGTGGAACAATAAGAAATTTGTAACATGCATAGGACATAATACAATTTTCAGGTTTATGTATTCTGAATATGAGTCTTTTTCAGATATATGTGCTGCAAATACCTTTTCCATTGATTTTTTTTTTTTTTTTTTTAGAGAGAGTGGAAGAGAGAGGTAAAGACAGAGAGAAATATCGATGTGAGAGAAACACATCTATTGGTAGCCTCCTGCATCCCCTGACCAGGGCCCAGGCTGGGGACGAGCCTGCAACCACGTACGTGACCTTGACCAGAATTGAACCCGGGACCTTTGGTCTGCAGGCCGATGCTCTATCCATTGGCCAAACTGGCTAGGGCTCTGCTGTTGCTTTCTCAAATTTCTTAATAATTTTTGAACAAGGGGTCCACAAATTAGGTAACCAGTTTTGCCTTTATGGCTGGTTCTTTTTCTATCCTGTTTAAGAAATCTTTCAGTAGCAAACTCATGAAGAATTTCTCCCACATTATTTCCTAGAAGCTTTATTATTTTGTTTTCATTTCTAGATCTAGATCCACCTGGAATTGATTCATTATGCTGTGTAACATGAAATAGGAGTCATTTTGTCCACATGGATATCTAATTGACTCAGCCCTGTTTATTGAAGAGATCATCCTTTTATCATTGCTCTGGGGAGCCATCTATAAATATAAGAGCCTAAGTGACTGTTACGACCTGTTGACTGAACGTCTGGTCAACCGGTTGCTATCACGCACACTGACCACCAGGGGGCAGATGCTCAATGCAGGAGCTGCCCCCTGGTGGTCAGTGTGCTCCCACAGCCAAACTCCCGCAGTCCCCCCCCCCCCCCCCCCCCCCCCCCCCCCGCCAGCCCCAATCTGCCCGATCACCAGCCAGGCTGAGGGACCCCACCTGTGCATGAATTCATGCACCGGGCCTCTACTTGTATAACATCAGGTGTCCAGTGTGTCTGAGTCTCTTTTTACACTCTTATTCTGTTTTGCCTTATTTGTTTATCCTGGGCCAATACAACACTGTCTTACTTACTGCACTTTCTGATAACTCCTAATATCTGATAGTGTAGG